CGGGAGCGGGCGGCGGTGACAGACGAGGCGCCTCCGCCCGGCCGGCCGCGGTGCCGCGGGGCTCCGGGCTGGTGCAGTCCGAAAACACTGGCGGGAGCGCGCGCGGGGGGGGCTCCCTTCCCGGCTGGGGGGCACGGAGACGCGAGGAGCACGAAGGCAAGGGGGAGGCGCGGAGACGTGAGGGGGCACGGAGGCACGGGGGGCCACAGAAACGCAGAATGGGAAACTTGGAGACGTGGGGGGGGCGGGGGGGCACGGAGGCGGGGGGAGGGAACGGTGGCGCTCTGAGGCGGAAGGTGCACGGGGTGGGGAGCACGGAGAGGTGTGGAGGATGCCCGGAGGCGCGGGGTAGGCACCGCGGCGCGTGGGGGTACGGCGGCACACGCGGGGGTGGGCACCGTGGCACGCAGGAGCAATACGAAAGCGCGCGCAGGGTGGCCGGAGGCGCGCGCAAGGAGCCCACGCGCACGGTGCTCGGGGCCGGCACGCGGCCTGCACACGCAGGTTTGGGAGGCAGCTTGGGGTCCGGCCCCCAGCGCCCTTTGGGCGGCTCCGGCCCTGGCGGGGTGGGGGCGCTATTTGTGCACAAACCGCCCGCGCCTGTGCCACGCTGCGACAACCGTGCAGAAGGAACGGCCGCCCCCGCCCACGAGTCAACAGCACCGGGCGTTTAGGGCGGGCGCAGTGGCGCTGGGCACGGAGGCACCGTCCCCACCCCGCCCCCCGCGCGCCCTGCCTCGCCATCTTGCACCGATGCGGCGGCACTGCAGGAGGGCGGGCGGGGCCGCGCAGGGGGTTGCGGACCCGGCGGGCGGGGACCAAGGCCCCTCCCCCCGGCATCCCCAAGTGGGAGTCGGGAGAGTTACAGTGTAGCTGAGATTTGCCGAGTCGAGTTTTATGTAACTTGGGTCACCCACTCGTTCGTTCATCATCCATTCATTCTCTGGCCAGATGAGCAAAACCCCTTAGGAGGGCCCAGCGGGAGGGCAGGGGGTTGTGGTAGCAGGAGGGGCACCCCGGGCAGCAGAGTCGGAAAGACTTTGGGGAGATCAAAGATCAGTGTTCCTGGCAGAGGGATGGGCAGGGACAAAAGAAGGATGGTGAGGGTCTGCCCCTTCAGGAGAGGGTGACGCATGCACCTTCTGAATCTAAGGTGGCCCCTTGCGTAGGAGGTCCCCCCCTCAGACCTTAGGGGTACCCTGCTGTGGGAGGTCCCACCCGCCCCCCCAGGTGTGTGGAAGAGGATGGGGCATCTAGAACCTTCTTAAGGCCTCGATCCTGTGGCTGCTGCTATAAGTGGCTTTACCCCTCAGGCCACTGTTGAGGAGGAAGGAGCCACAGGTAGAGTGACCAGTGGAGGGCCCGTCCCTTGGCAGGTGCTCAGATCCCAGCGGCCTGAGGGTCAGAGGCCACCGTGGCATAGATGGCTGAGGGCCATGATCCAGGAGTGCACCCAGTGTAAGGGGGCTGGGTCTACAGTCAGGGGACCCCCATCCCTGCCCAGGAGGCAAGGCCAACCCTGCTCAGCCCCCATGTGGAGGGCCTGCCTCTGCCCAGCAGGAAGGTGCCCCAGACACCTAGACCCGAAAGCAGCCAGGGGGGCTCCTTGGGGACAGATGGGGGAGATGACTAGTGGCCCTAAATTGCCTCTGTCCAGACTGTGCACAGTGGCCATCCTCAGTGAGCAGGGTTAGAAGTCAGCTCTTGGTGACACGGGTTTGCCTGTGAACACACATAAGTGCACACACAGAAGGGCCAGGTCTCGGGGCTTTAGGATTGTGGGTCCTCCTCCAGGATCCAGGTGGGGCAGGACCACTGGGCTCCAGGTCCCTCCATTCCATCAGAGTGATGCCCCTTCTCCTCCATGCACCAGGGTCCTCTGAGCCCTGCTGCTCCCCCGGCATAGTGACCGTTGAACTGGGAGTCCTCCAAGTCCCCCCACCATCAATCTGTCCCTTTGACCAGTGTTTCCCGTGCGTGGCCAGCCACCAAGCATTCACTGCTTGCCACGGCGTGGGGCACGTAGGCTGGCTCGGGGATTGAGGGGAGGGTCTGTCTGCATGCTTCCTGGAGTGGGGGATGGGAACTGCTGTCCTTTCAGGGTCCCCTGAGCCCAAGGTCTCCGGGTCACCCTCGCTTGCATAGGGAGGCTGCATGGGCAGAACAGAGCTCTGTGGCCCTGAGAAGGGCAGAGCTGAGGCTCGGGGCTGGCCACCCACAGGCTGGGCTTTCGTGAGGCTCTCTCCTCGACCTGGGGGCCTGCGGGCCAGTCCCCCTTCCTCTGAGAAAGAGCAGGGAAGGCGGAGTACCCGAACCCCAGTGGCAACGCCCCCATACCGCATGCCCTGGGTCGCCCAGCCTCGCTTGTCCAGTGTGGGAGGGCAGGGGCAGGGAGAACGACAGGTCCCTGTGAACAAGGCATACAGGGTGGACCTGCCAGTCTAGGAGTGACCAGTGGCCAGCTCGTCCCGGGGTTCCCACAGGGCTGGATTCTGCTGATCCTAGGATGGCAAGAGGTCCCTGAAGACATGCCCCCTCTCCCCTGACCTGGGTGGAAGCAGGACACCCCAGAGCCCGCAACAGCCCAAGCAGGGACCAGGCCTGACATTGGTGGGGCAGAGGTACCATCCACCTGAGTGACCACTGCCCGAGGGGCACTGGCTAGTCGCCACGTGCTTCCACCCTCTAAGGCCAGGCTGGTGGGGGTGCTGCTTCCCGGCTTCTCTACCGTGGGACGCAGAGTGTGCCCAGGCCCACGGAGACTGAGGTGATGGACAGGAGCCTGGAGACCAACAGTATGGGGTCACAGAGGTATCCTTGGCTGATGGCTGAACAGTGTCAAGGACAAGTCCTGCCTGCCCCATGCCAGGGGCAGTGTGGGGAGGGCACCTTCCCTAGATGCAGCTGACTCCAGGGGGCCGGGCCTAGCTGGGAGGGGTGTCTGAGGAGGGGCTTGCAGGCCTAGAGGAGATCCAAGAGAGCTCGAAGCATAAGCGGGCTGAGGGGGCGAGGCCACCATGGGGTGGGACCAGTGTGGGCCCGGGTGGAGGCTGGACCTGGACTCGGGAGGTGAGTGAGGCACCAAGGGGCACCAAAAACCCAATAATTACATCCACCGACAGAGGAATGGATACACAGAATGTGGTGCAGCCACACAACGGAATATTACCGATCCGTGAAAAGGGATGAAGCACTGACACACAGCAACGTGGATGAACCTCAGAAATGTGTTCAGTGATAGAAGCCTGACACAAAGAGACAAATACTGTATGATTTCACTTGTATGAGGTCCCTGGAGCAGGTGAATCAATGGAGACAGACAGTAGATTGGTGGTGGCCAGAGGCCCAGGGGAGGGGGAATGGGGAGTGACTGTTAAGGGGTACAGGGCCTCTTTTGGGGTGATGGAAATGTTCTGGAATTGGGTAGAGGTGATGATTGCACAACACTGTGAATATACTTACAGACCCCTGACCGGTACACTTTAGAAGGGTGAACTGTATGGTTTGTGAATTACATCTCAATAAAGCTGTCAAAAACAAACTTAGTGATCAAGGTAATTAATATTTTAATGCAATATCTTAGAGTCAAAATTAATGAGAAAAATCCATGATGAGCAAAATATCACAATTTTCAATCATAGCAGAAGCGGGAACACAGCCCCACCATCTGGAGCCTGAGGCCAGGGGACAATCAGGATTGCTCACCTGTCAGCCCAGCACCCCTTCAATCCGCACCTCAGGTGAGCACCCTGGGCCGGCCATGTTGGGCTCGGAAGGTGCCCAGGGGCCTGGCCAGCCTGGGGGACAGCAGCCGCGTCTGTGAGGCCCCTGGGGGTGAGCCTCACCTGCATTCTACACCTGAAGCTCAGGGAGGGGGTCATAGTGAGGGGCGGGTCTAGGGCAGGATGGGGGTGGGATGGAGGGCAGGAAGCAGGGGGCAGAAGAGTGTACCTGGGAGGGGGTCGTGTGAGTGTCCCGTGGCGGCCATAACAAATGATCACAAACTAGGGGCTTAAAACAACAGAAACGTATCCTCTCACAGCTCTGGAGGCTGGAAGTCTGAAATCACGGTGTCGGCAGGGCTGGGCTCCCTCTGATGGTCTAGGAAAGGACCCTTCCTGCCTCTTGCAGCTTCCAGTGGACCCAGGTGTCCCTTGGTTTGTGGCCACATCACTCCAATCTCTGCCTCTGTGGTCACATGGCCGTCTCCTCTTCTCTGTGTCTCTCCTCTTCTCATAAGGACCCAGTCATTGGATTAGGGCCCCTCGAATCCAGTGTGACCTCGTATTAACTTGGTCATGTCTGCCATGATCCCATTTCCAAATAATGTCCCATGCGCAGGTATTGGGATTAGGACACAGACATATCCTTTGGGGGCACCATTCACCCCACTACAGAGGTGAAGGGCACAGGGCAGGGCCACAGGACAGGGTCAGCACCTCTCGGGTCCCTCCTATAATAATAAGCCATATTAGCATTTCTGCACACGAGGCTGCCCCACATTCAGCCCACAAACCCATATGCCAGGCATCACAGTGGGCATCACGGGGCCCAGGGACACCCCTGCCTGCCAGGACTCACCCCCCGGCGGGCTCACCCTGCCCACATCCCCAGATCTGATCCCCCAGCCCACCCCTTCCCGCTGCCACATGGGATGTGACCACCGCCTAGGGGCAGGGGAGGGGAACAGGTACCCCTTGTACCCACATCGTCCCTCCCACTTTGTGTGCACAGGAGGGGTGCCACTGCAAAGGGGAAGGGCTGTCCGCCACCTGGACTTGCCC